TCTATCTGGAAGATCTATCCATTGATATCAATGGGGGTGTCAAAGTTCCTTACTTTGACTGTATTACCGCTGATCTTTCTTTTATGTTAGTCAATATTTGCTTTATATATTTAGATGCTCTTAGGTTGCAGCATAAAATGCCCTTCTTTGTCTATTTTTATAACCTTTGTTTTAAAGTCTATTTTGTCTGATATAAGTATTGCTACCCCAGCTTTTTTTAATTTCCATTTGCATGAAATATCTTTTTCCATCTCTTTACTTTCAATCTGCATGTGTCTTTTGATCTGAAGTGGGTCTCTTGTAGGTAGAATAAGTATGAGTCTTGTTTTCTTACTCATTTAGCTACCCTATGTCTTTTGATTGGAGCATTCAATCCATTTACACTTAAAGCAATTATTGATAAGTATGTTATTATTGCCATTTTATTATTTATTTTTATGTTCTTTTTTTCCCACTTCTTCTTAAAGAAGACTCTTTACCATGGTTTGGTGGTGATGAACTCCTTTAGCTTTTCCTTGTCTGGAAAGCTCTTTAACTCTCCTTCGACTTTAAATGATAACCTTGCTGGGTGTAGTAGTCTTGGTTGTAGGTTCTTGTTTTTTAACAATTTGAATATTTTGTGCCAATTCCTTCTGGCCTTCAAAGTTTCTGTTAAAGTCAGCTGATATTCTTATGGGAGTACCCTTGTAAGAAACTAGCTACCTTTCTCTTGCTGCTTTTAAGATTCTCTCTTTGTTTTAAACTTTTGATATTTTAATTATTATGTATCTTGGTATGGGCCTCTTTGGGTTCATTTTGTTTGGGACTTTCTACTTTTCTTGGACTAGTATATCTATTTCCTTAACCATGTTAGGAAAGTTTTCAGTCACTATTTCTTAAAAATACACTCTCAATTTCTTGCTCTCTCTCTTCTTCTTCTGGTACCCCTATGATGCAAATGTTGGTAGCCTTAAACTGTTCTCATTTTTTTAAATTCTTTTTTCTTTTTGCTGTTCTGATTAAGCATTTTCTACTATCTTGTCTTACAAATTGCTGATTTGATCCTCTGCTTCATCTAATCTGCTATTGATTCCTTTTAGTATATTCTTCATTTCAGTTATGATCTTCTTAATTTCTGACTGGTTCCTTTTTTATGGTTTCTATGTCTTTTTTAATGTTTACTATCTCTTTATTGAAGTTCTCGCTAAGTTCCTTGAGCATCCTTATAACCAATGTTTTGAACTCTGTATGTGATAGATTGCTTGCCTCCATTTCATTTAGTTCTTTTTCTGGAGTTTTCTCCTGTTCTTTTATTTGGAACATCTCCTGATTGTGGTTGCCTCTCTATGTTAGTGTCCATGTATTAGGTATGTCTGCTATGCCTCCTAGTCTTGGCAGAGTGACTTTTGTAGTAAGTACCTTGTGAGGCCCAGCAGAACAGTCTCCCTGATCACCCAAGCCGACTGCTCCAAAAAGAGTTCCTTGTATGGGTTGTGAGTGTCTTGTTGTAATCGAGCCCTGATTGTGTTGGCATGTCGGTGGGTGGAACTGACCCTAAAGATGACTGGTTGTGAGGACTAACCATGATCACAGCATAAAAGCTGCTGGGTGGGGACTAACCTCACAGAGCAGGATCTGCCCCAGAGGGCTCGGTTACCTACTGAGATCACCCTTTGGGTGTATCTCTTGTGAGACTAATTGGGTAGTGCTCAGGTGTGGTCTGAAGCCAACTACCAAGTGTGTTGATTCTGGGGCTCTTAAGAGGGGCTCTAGAGTAGGTCAAGGTGAGCTTCTGCCTGTGACTGGCTCAAGGCTACCTGGTAGGAGCTACAGAGCAATCTCTGGTTATTAACTACCTGTGCTGGAGGAATGTGGGAAAGGCCACACTGCAAACTGCCACCAGTACCAGCTGCCACCAGTACCAGGCCTGAGGCAGTTCAACAAAAGGTACAGAGCACCCCAAGTCCTGCCACCACCTGCCAGCTGCTGGTAAGTGTCAGCTGCTAAAAGATCCTTGGATGGTAAACAAGTTGGGTAAAGAGGAGTCTCAAGGAGTCACCAAAGTGGAGCAAGTAGTGTTCACTAGGTTAATGTAGACTTAGATTTGGCATCAATGCTGAGCCTGGGGCCACTCGGCAAAAGGTACAGGGCACACCAAGGCCAGCTGCTTCCTGCCTGGGGCCTGTAGACCTTGAGAGTTTTTTAAGAAAGACTGCAATTTGAGCCAAGGCCTGCCGAAAGAGCCTCTGGTGGTGTGCAACTTGAGTGGAGCAGAGTCTTAGGGAGTCATCATGGTAGAGTGAGTAGAGTTCACCAGACTAATGCAGATTCAGATTTGGCCATGTGGGAGGAGGGCTCAACACAGGGACAATGGCAGCGGCCCCTCCAACCCTCACCCTGAAGCAACACAACTCAGTTTCTCCCTGCACGTCTCTGGCATCTCCCAAACCGATATCCCTCCGCCGGAGCCCTGGGTGAGTGCCTGGAGCAAGCGAGTCTGTATGTGGGGCCTTTAAGAGATCACCTGGGTTTCCAACATCTCTTTGTCTCACCTAGACAGATGGGATCCTCACTGATTTTCACAGTCAGATGTTGCGGGGACTACTCTTGTTGGCACTGGTGCTCCAGGCTGGGAAGCCAGTTGTGGAGCTGGGACCTCTCATTCCTCAGGAAAGACCTCTACAGCTGTAATATCTTTCTCAATTTTTAATCACCACATGTGGGTGTGGGGCCCACCTATTTCGTATCTATGCCCCTCCTACCAGCCTCCATGCAGCTTCTTCTTTACATCTTCAGTTATAGGACTTCTGTTTAGCTAGCCTTCAGATGGTTCTCCAGGTTAATTGTTCTATAATTAACTTATCATTTTGATGTGGTTATAGGAAGAGAAAAACAGAGAGTGTACCTACTCTACCACTTTGACCAGAACCTCCCACAATTAAAGTTTTAAGAGATGGAAGATACAAGAAAAGACTCTAAACTGTTCTTGGTGGTGGTTATCTTGGGATGGCGTGATGAGGAGAAGAACTCCACTGGAACTGGACTTCTTGTGTTAGGTGCTTTAGGTTGATTTATCCTTTTACGGCTAACGTGAAATACAGTTGGGGGGTAGGGAGGAGAAAATAATGAATGCTCAGCACAGTAAGTCATGACTGGTGGGAGCAATATTGCTCAAGGTATATAAGAGCCACTGAGTCAAGAAATGGAGCCTGGGCCCACTGTGAAAATCCAGGCCCCACTTTAGAAACACATAGTAGGATCAATAGGTGCATCAGCAATCGTGTATCAATGTACGGAAGATTTCCTACATCATGCATGTTACCTTAAAAAGTAAACACTGGTAAAACCTCTGCCCTGCCAAAAGCACCTTTACAGATGGAACGTCAGTGGGAAATAAGTGCCCAAGGGAATGTGGAAGGGACCACTATAATCTCCTCACTTCACCTGGGCCACTTATGTCAGGATGCAGAGAGGATACAGACTTAAATTCATGTTACCACCAAATCCATGCTTCTACCAAATGAAAGAGAAATTCTAAAGAATTACCCTGCTGATTATGTGAGACCTTGCCTGAATTAATTATTCTGGCATTGTTTTCCTTATTTAGAAAAAATAAGAATGCTTTCCCTAATAAGTCCATAAATTTTCTAAACAGCTTTAGTACAGAAACCTGTTCCAGGAATTCTTTCATATATGCAAAGACTGTAAGAATTCACCAGTGGAAAGAGCAGCCACACCCAGTGACTTGGCCTTATGGAAAGAAAATCGAAAGGAATGAGGTCACACCTTGATTTGGCCCACAGAGCACCCCCTCGGGAGCACAGTCATCCTTGTATAGATCATGCAGATACTACTGAGCAGCAGGAGAGTGAGATCTCTACCACACAGCATAAACACGGATATAGCTTATGGGCATTACATGCGAAATTTTAAAATAAATGGTAAGAAGGACTTAATAAATATGGTAGGAAATCACAGCCATGTAGGAAAATATTGACTTTTTTGATTTAAAATAATTTAAAATGTCAATGATTCTTTACATGAAAAAAAACACAATAAACAAAATATTCTTAAAAAGCTGGACTGAAAACTATTCTTATATATTGAATACAGAATCAGTGGCATACTACATATACTCCTACAAATTAATAAGAAAAACTGTGTAAACAATAGATTAACTATATTAATCATCATGTGCAAGGATGATTAACCTTGCCAGTATCTACAGAAGTTCAAGTTCAAACAATAAAGAGGTATCACTTTTCATTAATCAGATTGGCAAAGTTTTTCAGTATTGTAACAACTTATGTTGGTGAGAGTGTGGGAAAACGGGTCTCTCATATACTGAGCAGGAAGATTAATTACTGCAACTTTCCAAGGTATACCTGGGCAAAATTATTTTAAAATCCTTTGACACAGCATTTCCACTTCTAGAATAACTTTTTAGAAATAAAAGTTGCTGTTTATAATAAATAAGATCATCACATTGTTTTGTTTATTTTGTTTCTTAGATTCCATATGTAACCGAAACCAGGTGGCATTTGTATTTCTCCATCTGATTTACTCTACTCAGCATAATATCCTCCGAGTCCATCCATGTTGTTGCAAATGGCAAGACTTAATTTACTTACTTACTTACTTATTTTTATGGCTGAGTAATATTCCATTGTATATGTGTACCACTTCTTCTTTATCCATTCATCTACTGATGGACACCCAGGTTGCCTCATATCTTGGCTTTTGTAAATAACACTACAATGAATATATGGATGCACATGTTTATTCAAAGTAGTGTTTTGGGTTTCTATGGATGAGTACCCAGAAGTGGGATTACTGGGTCCTTCTTTATCTCTTGTTATAGCCTTTGGTTTAGAATCTATTTTGTCAGGTATAAGTATTGGTACCCCAGATTTTTTTCATTTCCATTTTCATGAAATATATTTTTCTATATCCTTACTTTTAGTCTGTGTGTGTCTTTTGATCTAAAGTGAGTCTTTTGTAGACAGCATATGTAAAGGTCTAAAAATATGGAATGCTTCATGAATTTGTTCACTCTTGCTCAGGGGTCATGCTATCTTTTTTGTATCATTCCAATTTTAGTAGTATATGTGCTGCTGAAGCAAGACGGCCTCTCTTTTTGTGAAGAAATAAAAGGGTTTCTCTCTCTCTCTCTCTCTCTCTCTCTCTCTCTCTCTCTCTCTCTTTCTCTGTAAATCTATACAACGTGTATGGAGAGGTAGGAATGCTTTCTTTGTCATTAGAAGAGAAAACTTATGAAGGTTTACACCAACCTGTTGGCTTTGACACCCTTAGCAGTTTTAAAAAGAGAAGGAAGTGGATAGCTATTGATATTAATTTTGATATTAATAGATAAATATTGATATTAATACTATGCCTGTATCACTCGCACTATTACTGCAGCCATATATTACTTTTTTTATGATGTAAACTGTGAAAGAAACTATCTCTTAGACAAAAGTAGTCATTGATATATATGCAAAGAAAATCTAGCAAGTTGGATTATGTTAATTGCTATTTTCTTTTTTTTTTTTTTTGCCTATATGTATTTGTAAACATTTCCATGATGAAAATATATTACTGTTGGAAAAAGAAAGCAATAGGTATATGTTCATACAAGCCAAAATAAAAGTCTCATGTTAACCTTAGAGAATGGCATCTGCTGGCACTTTCTGGTGTTGGTAAGCAGAGGGTATCAGGAGTCACCATTGTCACATGACCAGCTAGTGCCTGCAAATACCCCCCAGTTTCTAATGGGCTGAGGGTGGTGGAGAGAAGGTGTTCTCACTCATTTACCCACCTTTGCTCAGAGAAGGTTGTGCATACACTCTCTGCTAACACCACACTGGCCACCTCAAGGGCTGCAAAGACAGCATGTACGTCCTCAGTGCTGTGTAGCCCACTGACAAACAACCTCTTTCAGACATTTCTGAGTTCCTTCACCAATGGGAGGAAGGTGCTTTTGAAATGGCTCTCACTTGCTGCAGTGCACTTGGGCCGTCTCTGAAGATTGAGCTGGATTAGAGAATCTCCTTTGGGAGTAGAAAACTAGCAGACTTTTGAAGAGCAGTTCTACTACACAAGGAAGAGTATCTGTCAACACAGGAATCAAGAAGTCTCCTAGGGCTCTCCAGCATAGTCCTCCACGTTCACAGCCCAGGAAATAAAACCTGGAGGAGATGAAGCTGCCCAAATGAAGAGGCAGAGCCAGAATTTACTTCCACGTCTTCTAATCCATATGGGGCCAAGGACACAGAGCTCACCAGATATTTTCCCTTCTCTTGCACATAGTCAGACCACCCTTCCAGCCTTCCTTGCATTCTGGAATGTGGGTGGGGAGTGTTGCTAGCCATTTTTAAGACTAATTCATTGGAATCCCCTACACATGGTCCTCCCATTCTCCTCTTCATATGTTCTTAGAAAGCAGATATTCAAGATTGTGGAGCAGAACTTCACGTGAGAGAGAAATAACCCTGTGTGGAGTCAACACTGACCCTCAGGAGTTCTTCAGCAGTTAGCCCAATACGACTGCAGTAGCTTCCTTTGTGTTCCTCCTTTTTCACCATGTGCCCCCACCCCAATATAACATTTTCTTTGAGGAATTTTCTGCAAGTGTTATCGGTACTCGCTTGCTTTATTCAAATACACGCTTTCCACATGATCCATATGACCATTAAAATGTGTGATGACAGAAGAGGTCTTGGGTATGTTTACAGAAATGAGTCTAACTGGCTGTAGAACCAAAGACCGGTGAACTAAGCCACTCTGGGCTGAGGGGTTGTCTCAGGCTCCTCGGCAACCACAAGCCATCGACATCTACAGGATGAAAGATGGCACGATCAGTCAGATAGAGAAAATAGGAAATGGAGCAAGAAAAATCATCACAGAACAAACAATGATCAGCCTGAGAATAAATACTGTAGCACAAGAGGTGAAGAAAAAAACAAACAAAGTTACCTCCGAATCCCCTACTCCCCGATCACAAGTCCTTTCAGGAGGCAGGAGATGAGGTCAAGGGCATGGAGTGGTCCTGTTCCACCGCGGCACACTGGCACGCTCCAGCAAGAATGCAGAGCCCACAGCCCGGCAGCCTGTTTTCTCCTCTCTTCTCTAACCAATGGCTCCGAGAAGAGGAATCGAGCCCCTATGTTCTTGATCCCTGGTGCCCTCAGCTCCTCCTCTATGAGGTCTTCCTGACTCCAGCCATGACCTCTCTCTTCCTCTCCAATAGAAGGTAAAATAAGAGTCAATGAGCTGAGAAAAGTTCTTAGTTTCAGAGCTGGATAATAAGGATAAGATAAAAATTGGCAGAGATTTAAAAAAAAAAAAAAAGCTCAAACTAAGAGTGTCCAAGTGATTCCAATAGGGAGAGGTACCAGGGCGGACAGAAGGACAGCAAACACGAAGGGAGCAATGCCCTGCTGGGACCGGCTGAACTCGATCTGGCTGTTGCTGACCCCAGCCTGGAGAAGGGGAGGCAGGACTGTGTTCCCTGGGGGAGATATGCCCTGTCCCCAGGGCTTACAGGTGTCTAAGTGACACATTCTAATGCAGTGCAGGTTACCTAGGCATATGTGACTTGCAGGGCTCATCTAAGATGCCTCAGCCACAGGGCAGAATTAATCCTCTGACCCTCACACTCCCACAGGAAGAATAACCGAGCATTCTGTGGCTGTAGGCTATGTGGACCATTGTGTAGCAACACACAGAAGTGGCAAAAGCAGCTCAAGTTTGTTATCAAAGCAATAACCACCAGTGACTGCAGAACTGGTTTCCTCCCTCTGGATCCCTGTCCAGTTCCTCCTCCTCACCTTCCAGTGGGACAAAAGGACTCAGAGAAAGCCTTTCCCATCACTTAGCTAACAGTTATTTCAACCCCTTCCTACCTCCACACCCACATAGTCTTTGGGAAGACAGTGAAGAGAGATATTTGGAGAGCAGCAAGAAGAGTATTTCCCCGGAGTACACAGTGGGCAGTGGGGAAACCATTGGTAACATGGCTTCTGATTTAATTCAGACAAATCTTCCACTCTCAGAATCTCACCTGGAACCCCACCAGCACCCAGCTCAATGACTTTGCATTGAGGAACCAGTTTCAAAGTCACCATTTGTTGTTCTTTCATCAAGGAGGTTTTCCAGTTTTCCTAGAATGTATCTTCCTATGACCATATTGAAAATCCCAAGTCTATGGCCATGCCACTCTGAACGTGCCCAATCTCATTTTATCTTGGAAGCTAAGCAGGGTCGGGCCTGGTTAGCACTTGGATGGGAGACCACCTAGGTAGACCAGGTGCTGTAAGCATTAAAAAAAAGAAAAGAAAAGAAAATTCTAAGCAGACATTAAAATGGATGAGACAGACATGCTTAAACTGACTGGAAAGACATTCAAGGTATATTGCTCTTTAACAAAACAGATTTGTAGAACAGAATGGGAAGCATAATTTCATTAGAAGATGGATGGATGGATGGATGGATGGATGGATGGATGGATGGATGGATGGATGAATGGATGGATAGATGATAGACAGACAATTTTTAATGTGCATAGAAAAAGGTGTGGAAGGAAAACGCATCACACACTTTATATAAGCAGCTGGAAGGACAATGGGTATAGAGTAAAGATATTATTTATTTTAATCATTTCCATTAGTTTACATTTTTTCCTACTATTTTTCCTATTACTGCTTTTAAAAGTAGTAAATACTGGTTGCCAAAAATTCAAAAGGTACAGAAGATTATAAACTGAAGGACAAAATTCTTTTTTTTCTTCTAAATAAAAGTATCATTAACATTTTCTTGTGTGTCTTCTTATAAAATATACATTCATGTAAACTATCCTTTATACAATTTAATAAGTATATGTTTATATATCTTCTGTATCATTCAACTTCCAATTTCAATCAATAATATCTTTTTAAATTGTGACTAATATCTTATTTTATGGATATAATAATTTATTTAATCAGTCCCTTAGACATGGACACTTTGATGGTTTCTAGAATTTAATTTTTTAAATAACTATGGAGGTAACATCTTCACACTTAAACATACCTTTTCAGGGGAGAAAGGATTTTCACATGTCAAATATATTTCAAATATATTTTAACTCATGAAATCTGTGGGATGAAAGTAGTATGCATTCTTAAATTTGATAGCTATTGCAGAATGTTTTTCCAAAAATGTTACACTGATTATATCCTGCTCACACCACATTGTATGTCTTTAAATTCCAGTTGTCAAAATTTAAATCTAGATCTGCATCTTTTTAGGTATTCGATGGCGATGTACATTTCTTTTCAACAATATTTTGGTGTCCCAAAAGAAAATCTGAGTGAGATATAATTTAGTATTGTCTAATAAAGTGTGTGTGCCTGTGTGTCTTCAAGTGTTTCCTCAAATTTTAGACAGTTTACCCTTGCTTGTGGTCACATTTATAACTTTAAATAATCTACTGCAAACTCTTTTTTGACTTGTAAAATGTGAGAGTTTGGAGCCATGTAAGTGGACTGGTTCACAGCATAGGACTCCAGTTCCTTTGGCAGGTCACCTGTGTCCCTAGGGTCAGATGCAGTAAAAGAGATGCATGGATATCCACTTTGCTCTCTTTGGCCCCAATTTGTTCTTAGGGGTCCCTGAGTTTCCCTCTTAGGCTCCAGTGTGTCTTGTTCGCCCCACCATGTGTGCAGTTGTTCTATTAAAAGACATGCAGTGACTTCAGGCCAACCACTAGCAACAGAGGCGACACGGAGCATAGACTTCCTCTCCATGGTCATTGACTAATTTTCAGATCCACCAACTGGACTCACCCACACTATTATTATTTTCTCAGATTCTCCCACAATTGTTTAAGGTCTAATGTTTGCACACATGCATGCACACACACACACACACACACACACACACACACACTCAAAGCCCCTTATCCCATGTCATTTGAAGCAATTCTGTTTTCCAGATCAACCCTAACTAATAAAGATCATATGTTATTCTAAAATATATCAATTAAATCATAAAGCTCTGACTATCTCTTCTCTTATAGTGCCTTCCTGCACGTGTTATAAACAGAGGACACACTTATATTTACAACAGTCATAGAAACACCAAT